TTCCTAGCACCCACATGGCGGCTAACACCCTTTCATAACTCTAGTTCCAGGGAATCCAGTGTCCTCTTCTGACCTCCTCAGGCATTGCATGACATGAGTGCACTTGCACACATGTAGGCAATACATTCACACACATAAAAAATTATAAATAAAATATTTTTAAAAGAAAAACTAGAATTTATTCTTACATTTTAAGATAGTTGTCCATAACCTATTAGATGCAATACAAAAATGCAAATTTTTTTCAATAAAACATAAACTACATGTGGTTATGAAAGTGCTCATTATAACTCCTGTGGCAGCTTTGCAGTCATCCTTCTTTTTCTTATTTTTATTTTTATTCCAAAGAGAGGCAATTTTTAATACATTTTTCCAGAAAAAAAGCAGGTTACATATATATATATAATGAAGTTTAAGGGGGGGATAGGAATAAGAACTCAAAGACCAAAGGACTTGCACCCATCCTTCTAAACCTTTGCATTTGCACATTGTTGTTTCCTCACTGGAGAACCTTCTCCAGATATCAGAACCCTTGGATGAAGGGATGGGGAGGAGAGAGGTGAAGGAGCACAGAAGGCCATTCGAAGGGGAAACTAGGGCTTTGTTCCATTCTCTGACTTTTGTGTGACCATGATTGACAAATAGGAGGATTGTTTCCTGCACTGTTTCCCATAAGTTGAGTTTTAACTGAGGGATAATATTGTTATATAGCATAGACTGATGTTTAATAGAACTGAGGAGAGAAAAAATGTTCAGCTTCTCTAGCCTTGCCTATAGTGAGGTTGTGATTTATAGAAAAGGAGAAACAAAAGCCAGGAAAGATGCTTGTGTAGACTTAGCTATGAGAGCAGTTCTCAGAAAATTTTCCTGGGGCTGGAGAGATGTCTTAGGTGTTAAGACTGGCTGCTGGGGCTTGGTTCCCAGCACTCACGTGGTGGCCAGCAACTATCCGTACCTCCAGTTCCAGGGGATCCAACAATTCTTTTCTGGTCTCCGTCTGCATTACATGCATGGGTTCACTTATATACTTGCAGGCAAAACACTCATACACATAAAATAAAAATAAATAAATTACTTAAAAAAAGAAAGGGGGCTGGAGAGATGGCTCAGTGATTAAGAGCACTGGTTGCTCTTGTAGAGGACCTGGGTTGGATTCCTAGGGCCCATATGGTAGTTACCAGTTGTCCATAACTCCAGTTTCAGGGAACTTCATGCCTTCCTCTGACCTCTGAAGGCTTTGCATGACACAGGTGCACTTACATACCTGCAGGCAAAACACTCATACACAAAATATATATTAATTAATGTTAAAAAAAACGAAAAAGAAACTTTTCCTATGAGAGGTCCTCCCCTGACAGGGTCTCAAACTATTCTCAGGCCCAGCATGGGGTTTCCTGGAGAAATTTAAATTCTTTTTTAAAAATATTTTATTTTTTATGTGTACGAATGTATTGCTTACATGTAGGTAGCTACACCCGTATTGTGCAGTGCCCTCGGAAGTCAGAAGAGGGCATCAGATCCCCTGAACTGGAGCTACAAATGGTTGTTAGGAGCCATCTCTCTAGCCCGAAATTTAAATTCTTTAGAGTCCCTGTTACCTGGTGCAGTTTTTCTTCTTTCCTGTCCATTTCTCTGTTGACAAATTTGGATGCGTACACTAAGCATTTAGATGCAGTTTTGAGCACATCCACTGTCACTGTGGGATTGAGACTGGCCCTGGCAAGGGCCTCACACATTTTGCATTTTGGTAGATATTGTCCAGTCATCCACATCCTTGCCACTCCTGGCTCCTCTCCACTTTTTCGCTGCCATCCTACCATGTGTATCCTGAGGGATGATAATGCTATGTGGTAGGGTGCTGTGAGGGATTTCCTTCACAGAGTGGAAGCTGGACCCCATAATCTCCAACTGCCAATTATTATTTTCCCCCCAATTTTATTTCTCCTTCTTCCCCCACTCCTTTTCCTCCCTCCCTGTGTGTGTCGGGGGCGAGGCATGTGCATGCCACAGCACATATGTAGAGGTCAGAAGACAACTTTCAGGAGTTGGTTTTCTCCTTCTACCTTGTTGAGGCAAGGTCTCTTATTTCTGCCAAGCAGTGACTCCAGGTTGGCTAGCCTTTGAGCTTCCATGTGATTCTACTGCCTCTGCCTCCCATCTCAAAGGAGTGCTGAGATTACAGATGTGCCCCGCCATGTCTGACATTTTCACATGTTTTCTGTGGATTGAACTCAGATTGTCTGTCAGGCTTGTTTAGCAAGTACTTTTACCCTCTGAGTCATCTTGCAGGTCCCTTACCCTTCTTAACAGAATAGATATGCATGGGTAGGACGGTGAGACTCCTCTGGAGCCCTACAGCAAACCTGGCCCTTCAGGTTCTCCCAAAGGGATAGAAAGTGCACCCTGAGGCTACAAAGCCTCAGGGCTGTGAGTCAGGCTTTTTCCTCTTGGCAGTAATAGTTCTCACTTGTGGGGGCTGACTGGGCACCATTTTGCTTTCTCATACTTGAGGAAGAACAGGTATCAGAGAACTGATGCTCAGCTAGATCCGTAGGATTCTCCAAGGCGGTCCTCCTGCATGGTCTGGTTATTGTACATAAGCCACATATTATCACAAGAACCAGAATCTTTGCAGCCCCTCACCATACCAAACATCCTACAGATAGATAGCTCAGATCTGCCACCTCCAACATCTCTGGTGGCTCCTCACTGCCTGCAGAGGGTCATACACTCCCCAGAGAGGCATCCCAGCCTTCCTTATTCAGCCCCATTGCAAATCTGGGCTCCAGTCAAAACGGGCATTTGTTCAGGTGCCCTCTCCCGCTCTACCTTGATGTTTTCTTGATCCACCCCACTGTGCTTTCATCCCACACACTCTTGGCCACACCTTCAAATGCACCCACCTTTCTAACCTTACCCTAAAGACAGTTCTGTCCTTCACACCATTCCCCTCCTCATTTCACAGTCCTCCCTCTACAAAGCCTAAATAAAGCTGTGCCTTTACCCACAGTCATGTCTGTTTGAGTACCAGTCCAATGGTGATGTGAACAGCCCAGGATCCACAAGCTTGAATTCTGACTCTGCCCCTTAGTGTGTGACCTCAGGGAAGTCAGTTCACTGGTCTGGGAATGGGGTTGGAGCTGACTACTTCATTCACAAGATTTTTTTTTTTTTTTTTGGTTGGTCAGTAGTTTCCCCCCCCCCCCTTTCAAAAATAAACTTTACCAATTTTTTGGGCAGTTT